CCCCAACAGACTGCTTACTACACAGGGCGCATCCTCAAGATCCAAAGAAAATGTCTCCTCTCAGTTTACACAGCTGTCATTAAATGATAAGAGTGTTAGTTTTTTTATTTAATTTAAAACGATACACCTCACAGATGATAATTCAGATCTTTTTAAATATTGAATTTTTCGCTGTAAGTGTTATTACTGTAACTCTTTTCTTGTCAGTGTTGAAAAGTCTCCTCTGAAACACCATGGAAAACTTAAAGGGGCCCTTATCTACTTATTTTCAGGTTCATATTTGTATTTAGTGCCTCTAATGCTACACGTTTTCATGCTTTAATGTTCAAAAAGCTCTTTATTTTCCTCATACTGCCTGTCTTTTCACCCTCTGTCTGAAACCAGAGCGCAGTCTGCTCTGATTGGTTAGCTGACCGGCTCTGTTGTGATTGGTCAACCACTTAGAGATGTCCGAAACATATCACGTACAATGTATAGGAGGGCAAAGTGGGTGGGTGAGAAACTCCCTCTGGAGTGATCTTTGGGATTTTAGCCTTTGTCGATCACTAACATGCACACAATCCTATATCACACACTACAGGGAAGAGAAAAGCCCAAAACATCAAATAGGGCCTATTTTAACACTTGGCTTGATAATAATAATGATAACAATAAGGTGAGGGCACATTTTGAAACTAGGTCCAGTGGCAGCCAAAGATCTTTCCCTGTCAAATATGGAAATATAATGGGTTTTTTCTGTTTCATATCCTATTAAAGTGGATATCTTTGAGTTTAAGACTGACAAAACCAGCCTTTTAACAAATCACCTTGGACTTTAATTAAGAAACTGGAATGGATATTTTTTCCATTAATTTCTGATATTTTATAAACAATTTATTGGCACATTATTTGATAAAGAAAAATTGGCAGTTGTAGCACTATTCTTTGTAAGTATTCCAGACTGTGCCTATTCACAGGGGAGGCATTTAGTGGACTCCTGCATCCTGGTTGTCGAGGCAACAAGGGTGCTCAATGACAATTGAATGCCAACTTCATGGCCCAAGTTTATAACACAAGTTTTCAAGCAAATATTTGAAGTCTCATAACTCATGATAACCCTGAAGACATTGTCAGCTATCAACAAAGTGGGGTTGATATTGTGAATGTTCATTGAACATAGAGCTATGTTTCTGCTATATATTGCAAATATTGAATATCTTAAAACATATTTCGTAAAAAGTCCTCAGGTTCTCCCAAATATTTCCACTAACTAGGTTGGGATGTCTAGTTGACTCACTATAAATATTTCAGCACTCCCTAACAGATGGGGTTATTAATCAAATTGTACAATGTAATTAATCTACATTTTAACAGCCAAGCTTTTTGCAGTGGGTGTAGTGTGCTGCTGTAGTCTGGCAGCAGCCTCCCGCTGCCTCGGAGCTGTGTACTCCTGTTGATTTCACAATAACACTCTTTTCTCCCGAATAAACTTCTCCGAGACTCCCTGTTCACACAACTTTGTTTTTTGGTAATCAGTTGTGTGAATGAGTAGCAGGCTGTGAGCGAAATGATTTAAAAACAGACGCTTTAGGGCAAGAAAAATGTGTCATGACAGTGAGTCAACTGTGACTAATTACAGGCCCTGCAGCTCCACACCCTGCCTCCTCAAAGAGCTGAGAGCTTCTGCGTTGGAAATTACAATAACATCACAGGCTGTGGAGGAATCCTGCCTCTGTATCTCAGCCACCTTGTCCCTGTGTGTCACTTTGTTTTGAAAAGTGGTGGGGACACATTTTTTTAAATAAACAAAAAAGACAAATAGAGTGGTGCAGTGATCTTGATTGTTATAGGCCAACCAAGAAATTAACATCACAAGGGGTCCCTCAACAAAAAGCAATGGGATATTCTCATTGCAATACAGTATACTTCAGAAAATAAACTCTGTGCCCAACAAACGTTTATGATAATTAACATATTTTGGTCAGCAGGATAATCTCCACATATTAATAGCACTTTGTGTTTTTGAAGCATAAATGCAATCGGCAGAAGTAAAAAGCTAACGCTATGCTATAAACAAACTACTTGGTGACAAGAACATTCAACGTAGTTTCACCATACGTATAATTGTCATGTCTTCCCATAACTGTGTTGAAACACCCTGGATATGTTTTTCTTGAGGTAAGTTACCTGGTGTGTTTTTCCAAAGTATCACATGGTTTTTGTTCCATGTTTGAGCTAACGTATCATCTGTATTTTGTTCACGTTGCAGCCACCCAGTTCTGACATTTCGGAAGCATACCCAGAGTTAATGATGCCTGTCCCTATATGCCTTATTTAGTTGACACAAGTGTTCCTGACCTCATGCACCATGAGCTGTCTGCACATATCTAATGTCAATATGTTCCTTTGTGTGCCTGCAAGTTGTACTAGTCCAAAGGTGGTTGTGGCTAACATTCTTTCAACAAAATATGTAGTGTATGACTCTGGAGTATGAAGGCTGAGGTGTGCAGTATGCAGAGAAATGTTCCCCTACAGGTGTTGTTGGTGTAAGAGGAGAAAAAGCTCATAAATGCCAAGTTTTTACTGAACCCATCCTAACGAAATGTCTTTAGGTAAGCTGAAAGTTGCACCTGAATACCAAAATACCAAAATAATATTGGGCAATTCAATTTGTCTATGCGTGAAAAGATATATCGAAATAAAATCCGGTTCTACTGATTGCTTTTGAATAAAGAGAACAGAAGTCATGATATTTATAGTGGTGTCAATCGATTTAAATATGTAATCCTTTTGATCACACTAATAATGTGTGGTTAATCACAAGGTTATAATAGTAGTGTTTACTGGAATTTTCTTGTGAAATCAAACAAAAACATGTGTGGTGTAGTAATTAGAAAACGTGTGACAAACTGGTGTTAAGTCTGACTTTGTTTTGATTCATTATAACATCTCAGCTTAGTTTTGATGATTTCTGAATAATGAATTTCTGTGAATCTTTACTAACGCGTTACGTTTTCCAGACTAACCACCAGTGCTAATGTGTTAACGTTGACAGCCCTAAATATTACATGCTAGCTGCTGGTTTGCTAGCTCCTGTAACTCAAAAGGTAATTTATTTGCTCTTTTTTTTTTAATTGAATAATGTCTACACTTGAAATGTTAGCATATCTACTACTAGAAGTGTATGATATGACTTGTGGGTCAGGAGTCAGGACATCTCTGCAGCACCACAATACATAATTCAGAATGATATTTGGACACATTTTGCCTTAAATAAACATTGCGCCTCCTTTGATCTATATATTGTCTGCTATATTGTGATTTTGTATAAATTCCAATGATTTTTCAGCCTGAAAACTAAAAAAGCATATACATTTTGACCTACACAATTTCCTAACACCAGTAACTTGAGCGGTTCTCTCTCATTTAGCATGGCCCGCCTCACCCTTAAGGGTTAAACACTTTCTCATTGTATAGATCTGGCGCTGCCGACACACTGTTTAACTGCCGGGCCTCTATAGGAGGTACCAGAACATGACCTGGTACACAGACAGAGGGCATGTCGTCTCAGCCTGTCCAACAGAGCAGCCTTCAGTCAGCCTCACTCTGAAAAACTAATTTTGTAATTACAAGCCGGGCAGACAAACAACGTCTCACGCAGCAACAAACACATATAGAGGCTTGTTAAAAAAGACTTTTACTCAGTAGTTTAATTCAGACTGGCGGACATGTTCAAGATGTCTAACGCCGCTCCCTCCCCCGCTTTCATTCAGTTTAGGAAACAACAAACAATGCGGTTGCTATGGGCTCATCTGGGCGCCCTGAGACCGCATTTCAGCAGCAGATCAGACGGCCAACAGTCGAGTTACTGACAACTCACAGAGAGGGTTTTCTCCTTTCCCAAACAAACATGGAGATACTGCAATCACCCAACTCTGCTTCTCTAGAAGTCAACACTAGTTCAATAAAGACTAAGAATATGTTCGACAGTTTCATTGCAAACTCTTGTGGTAATCATACATTTTTTGATGGGTTACTATGTGCTTGAGGCAAGTTTCTAAAATGCCTGAAGACCCTTAGTACACTCTCACTGGAATTATTTTCTTTGTCAAACTAAATATAAAAGTCTAAGCTTACTTTGGCGACTAATCAATGTTGTGCTATAAACTCATTTCAACAAGAAAAGAATAGAAAATAATAGACTTGTAGACTCCAAGGCTCATCAATATCAATATATTCAGTTCTCCTCAAAACACCAAGATATTGCAAAAATAAATAAATTCTAAAAAATCCTCTCATTCCTGCCAGAACTTCCGAGCAGTAATCTCCAATGATGAAAGACTTTGAATATGTTTACCATTAGGCAACACACAAAACACCTTGTTTAGCCATGCACATGATATTCAGCTGAAGCAGGTTACAGATTACTGTAACAGAAAAAGTCTTCCACTTTTGGAAGCATAAAAAAAATGACAACATTAAAATTACTCCTTACAGCATCTTCCTCAAAATCAAGTCAGAAAAAGAAAAAAAAGACTCAAAGATAAAAAAAAACCATTTTCAGTCCCATTCCCAAAACTGATCTGGTAACTGTAGTCTGGGATGAAGCCTTGCTATTTTAGTGAAGCAATAATATCATCATTGCAGTATCTTTCTAAAGTGGTAAACTAGGATTAGGATTATATATCAGGTACAAAACAACTCTACTGTAAAACTGTAAAAGTTGGTACAAACTAAATAACAGTCTTGTCCTGGTGACATGTGTTCCTGACTCACCAGTTTCTCCATCTCCTGCTCTCGTAGCCTCTCCTCCCTCTGTCGACGGTGGTACTCCAGCAGCTCGTCCTCGTTGTCGCTGATCTCTGTGATGCTGTTCTTCCTCTCCCTCATTCCAGGGTGGGGTCTCCCTGAGGACATCTTCCTATGGGTCCTGGGGCTGGAAACAGGGGAAGATCCTGGTAGGGAGCCCAAACTGTAAGCAGGTGACAGGGAATTCCCAAAGCTCGCCTTCCGTCCTCCCGAACCCCCACCGCCCTCCATCATCATGGAGGTAGGCGACGGACTGCGGGCTCTGACCCCCTTGCTGCTGCCAGTTGGCTCCTCGGACGTAGATCCAGTTCTGCGTCGGAGCCTGGGACTCACCGGGATGAGCTTGCCCAGACTTGAGGGGCTTTCTGGAGTTCTTAAGATTGGTATCGTCCCTGGGAGAGCCCCTGGTAGTACTGGGACCCCTCGTCGAGCCATGGAGGGGCTAAGAGGAGGCAGCTCCCTCATACTGCAGCTCCCTCCACTGCCACCGTTCAGCTCCATGTTCCTCCTGGCCATGCGAGGGCTTTCAGGGGGCTGCAGCGAACGCGGATGCTGCTGGAGCGGCGATCCTTGGATGATGTGGACGATGGGGTCCAGAGGAGGCTGGAAGGCTCTGTTGGGTTGGGAAAGCTGCCTGGAGGAGCTGGGGGTCAGGGGGAAATCAGCTAGACTGGTCTGTTCTCTGAAAGGACTGGCAGGTCTTTCCTGGAGCACTGTGGTTGACTTGGTCCTGGGACTGGAAGGAGATTGCGATGGACAGTTAGAGAATTTGGTAGTGAGTCTTGGGCTGCTTGGCACTATGTGTCTACTACTGAGGGATTCACAAGAGGAGAACATAATCTGTCGGGGGCTCTCAGACCCATCAGGGCCAGGTCCTCTGCGGCTTGGCTTAGGACTTGGAGGGGCCTCTGATAAGACCTTCCTCTGCAGTCTGGGGCTTTCCTGAACCTTCTGGCACACCCCACCGCTGCTGAAGTTAGGCAGTATAGTCCGTGGCAGGGGGACAGGCGCACCCCAGCCGGCGATGGGATTGGTGGAGAAGTTGTAGCTTGAGGAGCGTACAGGCACTGGCGGAAGAGAATAACTCTGGTCCTGGGGTCCTCCAATAGGAGATGGGCTAGTAAAGCTCCCACTGCTGGCTGCAGACGGGGAGGAGAGGGGGGAGAAGGGAGGGGATGTATTCTCATAGCTGGATCCAACGGACATAGCCCCTGGGCTGGTAGGAGGGGACAGTAGATACCTGCCACCTCCATTGAGCATTGGGGACAGGGGGGAATGGGGAATGGGTTGGCCTCCAGAAGGCTTTTGGCCATCCGAGGAAGAAGGCTGTGGATCATCCATGACTAGAGAGTCCATGATGTCCTGGAGGTCTTTCTCAATAGAGCTTACGATTGCAGTGTGCTCAGAGTGGACTCTTTCTCCATGAGTTTGGGGAGACTGGACTGGACTGGCCTGGTGATTCCCATTGACAAAGCTCTCTGTGCCTGAGGTTAAAAAGACAAAAATCAACCTTCATTAGTCTTTGTCAAAAATGTAATAAACATAGAAACTAGAATACAGTGATGTTTAATCTATTGTGCAACAGAGTCTGAATTGGAAGTATAAATATACTCATACTGAAGAATTCAGAAAAACTCTTGTCTTACAGTTTATAAAATGTCAACATAGAAATATGTCAGAAAGGAGAGCATAAGGGCAGAGGAAGAATTAGTGGTGAGGAAAGAAGGAAGGACACAGAGGAGGAGATAGGCCTGTACATTGGATAGGGATCAGGAGAAAATGTGCCTACATAACCCAATTACTGTGTGGCTCGAAAGCAACATAGGACACGGGGTGGGTAATCTAATCTTAACTGTCTGTTTGAAGTCACTATAGTAGATTATGACAACAGAAACGCACGGCCACGTGGGAGATTCAACAGCATGGCCTTGAGGCAGGGATCAGTTTGTATTAATGCAAAATGAAAGCTGTTTGAATAGACTTCTTGACTGTTTAAATAGAAACATGAAGATAAATGTTGCGGAGTCATCCGTGCAAACACCGAGAGGTAATAAAAGGCCACAGAAAAAGCTGTCCAATAGCATTGTTATGATATTAAAAATCTTACAAAATTACCGTGGGATGGTGCAACCGATTACACAAACATAAGAGAGAACAAAATACATTCTGTTTTGTATTATAGTAAATGATGATGTCAGAGAGAGACGTCCCAATGGCAAAACTGCTCTAAAATATAAAAACTTCACAAATAATGCCTTAGCTGTGCTTGTTCAACAGAGATGGGGGCAGCTTCCTGCCTGCTCCCCTACAATGCAATACAACAAAGCTCTGCCTTCATGACAACCTGACCACAATTAAATCTGAAGATTGTGTCACGCAAATGTTACAGCATCGAGGTCTGCAGGCTGTCACAGTAATTCATTGTATCCGTTCACCAATGCATGAATGTCAATGTCACATCGTGTCGCACGGACAACAAACCGTCTTGAACGTATGTACAGTCAAGAACGACGGCGGTGGGTTGACGAGAAAAGCAACCGTTTGCTGAGGGAAAGCCCATGCAATGATGTCATGGGGTACAGACGATCGGCTCGAGTGCACCAAACCTCATTTAAAAATATGGCAATTTAATATTCGCTTGACTACCGGTAATACTGCATGTGGGATGTATCATGACTTAACACATTTTCTTACATGTGAGGACCCCTACAATTCGGCATTGATTGTATCGCCAACAAGATTTATTTACTTAAATATACACTTGATTCATCTGACATCCTTTAAATAACCCTAACCATAGACGACCAGAACACATTAGGATATTGTGACACAAAAATGCAATTATTTTAACGAATAAATGCACATATTTATCGATCATCATAATGCCGAATGAAGGATGGCATTCCAATAAATCGAAGTAAGAATGTAATTGTGTCCCACACTGTGTTCACATTTCCAGAAAAGCAAGTGAACATAAAACCGACTGATTTTTTAATGAAGTTTCGCGTGACACCGGTTCCTATCACTTCTCACACCCAGAGCTCAGCAATAAGCAGTAGGGTTAACGTTACTCACATGAAGGAATACAACCCGGTCAGTTTCAGGACAGTTCACCTGCTATATGACACACACTGAGGCCCACATCCTCCGGACACCGGGGACAGACCGGGTGTGACGGAGCCCTGCCGTGTCTAGCTCCACACACAGCGAGGGAGATAAAAGATTCACCACCGAGGCGGTCTTTCAGCCGGGCGGGGGTAGGGGTGCTTGGCACCGCTGCTGCTTACGGTATCACGATGGTCAAGTTGCCTGAAATGTAACATGGCGTTTTCCGGTCAAGACCTTCAAAATAAAAGCATGACTATATTCTCTTTACATATGCTCCCATCGCGAAGACGAGCATATGATAAAATACATAGGCTACTTACTATAATATACATCTCAATGGGACAGACATAATGTGAGACACAATCTACAATAATGCCTAGTAGAGTGTGACAAATACCAACATTGTTCCTAATGTTCTGAAAGGTAATAGCCTACTGCCTTTTGTACTTTACAGTGAAGACACACACAAATGAGACCGATAAGTCTTAAAACATACCGTTCCCCCCAAATCGGAAATGTACTTTAATTTGAAAAAAAAAGGCGTCCTACTTCCTTTGCCATGGCTACCTTGACCTATCTCTTCTTCTCCAGGGTGATGTGAACTGCTGCGAGATTTACAGAGCTGTTTTTAAAGAGTCACAGCAGTGGATGTTATGGCTTGTCATTGTTATTGTCTCTATAATGCAGATTCTGTCAGTTGTAGATGACACAGGGGAGAAGTAAAGGCATCCACAAATGATCCATTAGCACACTGTGGCACTTCGCTCATATTTTGCTGGCATTAAAAACTAAATTTCCTAGGTGAATTGAATTATTGTAGGCTTCCATTTTTAAAATACAATGTTGTCATCCAGGGGAAATGGCAGGATAGCTTTGTGTATTTAGGTCTGATTAACCAGAGCAACACAGTAGCCTGAACAGGTACAACTATCGAGGTCTAAAAAGCTGGACATATTTCTTCGCATTTGTTTACAAAAATACAAGCTTTGGCAGCATTCAAACACTGCATTTTTTGTAATAATAGTGCCGGAGAATATTATTATCATATAGGATCATATAGAAATATTTAATTACCAGTAAAGTCCTCCAATGAAAATGACATTATATTAAAGTATTGATTGCCAAAAAAAAAAGTTAAAGTAATCATAAAGCATAATTTTTTTTAATAAATGTTACATATTAAAAGATACAATTGAATAAGTATGCATGTAAGCAGCACTTAAATGTTGAAGTTGGTAAGGGAAGAGCTAATTTTGAAACCGTATTATACAATTTTATACACTTTGCAGCTGAATTGATATCAAAGCATCATATTTTACAAAACCATTGATGTCTTATATGTATTTTTTACGTATGTAACATTTTCATCTGCAAAGTAACTACATTGGCCCATAGTATTGGTCATAAAAATGGAGCAATATAAATTAAAATAGTTCCCTCTGAATTGTTGTGTTTACTTTAAGTATAACATAGCATGAAATGGAAACGTTTAAATAAGTACACATTTTTGACATTTTTCAATAGATAAGTAAATATACCTTTTTAGATCTGACTAAATGTACTTAGATTTGTTCAAAATACAGCTCTATTTAAATGTGACTGTGTAATGGGAATATAACACAACCTAAACAGATTTAAGTCAAATTAGACATTTGGAAGGTTTAAGTTGCTTATCTATACTTTATCAGAATCAGCTATATTTTTAAGTATGTGTAACATACAAATAGTGTATCCATGTTATGCTTTCTGACTGAACTTTTCCATACAAAATTGTGAATTAAGACCTCATTGATGCACCAAAATAAAGTATTAACGGAAAAAATGTTTTTTCCCTTAGAGATGGAAATGTGGGTTTTAAACTGGTTTGGAAATGTAAATGAAAGGGCACGAACGAAGTGCTGACTGCTTTAAATGGGAATAACATTTTCTCCGCTTGCCTAGACGTATTTCATTTATGGTCCCTTATTTCATTGCATAATTAAAATAAATAGACATTTTAAGACCTGGAGGTGAAACCCATTGAGGAAGGGAGGGTGCAAAGATGGCAGACAGTAGAATGGAACTAGAGGTTTATAAATAGTCCCTGAAAAAGATACTGTAACCCCATCCGTCGGCCACTTTGAGTAAGCAGCTCAGAGCCACAAAGCCTTCTGCTGGCCAGGCAGAGGCACAGGAAACGTCCAATCAGTGAAGAGGTGTTCGCTGAAAGACGCCTGGCTAAAGACAGCTAGTCAGTGGACCGTCACTGACCCAGTGAAGATAGCCAAAACGGAACAATAGCCAGGTGAATGTGACCAGCTTCATAAAGACACAGTAGCTCACAACAAAAGGAATTATTTTGTAATACATGATGTGCCTGTCATGTTACATTCACAAATGTAGCACAACAGGCAAATAATAGATGGCAGCAGTAATCATTTCTTGTAATGCTAGCAAAGAGGCTTTTGATATGATTGGGACACATTCCTGAAAAAATACTGGATTGTATACATTTATTGTACATATTTGGACCACTTAACTTTAAACAAATAAATGAAAATAAGTTATTAAAGTCAGTTGGCCAGCTCAGTGACTTTTTAATGTGTTGGGAAGCCAGTGAGGGATCAGTTACTGGCACTTACCGCCTGGTCTGTCTCCACTGTCACCATCACAACATCCTCCAATTGGCCAAGACTAGGCATTGCCCAATACAGTGGTGCAGGTTGACCTATTTTTGTACACAAATCTTTTTCAGGCTACTTCATATATGTTCAGAAAACGTTGAATTCGAGACGAGGGAACCGGAAGTGGTCAAATGCCAAGTCCGGGTTTTAAGACTCAATCGTGCACCACTATATTTAAATGGTGACATAAAATAAGCCATTAAATACGGTTATGTACAGTTTCTTATTCCCTAATATTCACACCATTATTTTAGGTACATTATGGTAGCTGTGGTAAGTAATTCTGTCATTAGTTTAATTTAACTCGTTTTGTCAAGTTGTTTGAAGGAGATATTTTAAAGCATTATGAAGTAGATATCACAGAGACAGGTACGGTGAAAAAGGTTTGTCTGGAGTCTCCTGCACCTCTTAAAAGTAAAGTTGTGGTTACAGACTCCCTCTTCCCCTATAAACATTAGTATTTTGAGGGTAATTTATTTGGAAAAAACTGACAAAGTTAAAGAAGTATTTAACTTTTTTTAATTCTTCCATAGATAACGTGATGATATAGTTGTTGTAAATTATTGTGGCCACAATAATCATGTAGTGTTTATCGGATATTGAGACAGCCCTTACGTTCCTATAGATGGATATTATCATTTTACTGCATGCAAAAAAAAAAGAAAGAAAAAATCTATGCTTTCAAAACAAAGTGGGTCAAATGGGTTTGGCTGGGTTTGCCCCTCCATAATTGCTCTAGCACTGGAATAAACACACAGATAACAAGTGTAATTTCAAAGTGTTTTCAAATAGATATGACATATATGCACAGATTATCATGGGAGTGGTATAAGCAAGTTTCATCTGAACGCAACTCAGGAATGCATAATTGAGGAAAATGACGCGTTTCTAAACAACGGAAGGCTTTCATTATTGGAGCAGGAGGTCCACAGCAGCCAGCATTCCTGTGCGCTATACTTATAATGTCCACAGTAAACAGAAGGAAATAACAAGATGCTATGACAGATCCCCGGTAGTAGAGCTGGTCAAGAAAAGGTCCACTTACAGTTGTTCCGCTGCCAGGGGTAGCACTCGGAATATACAGTACACTCTCACACACACATGCAAGCAGCTGAAAACTTTGCCTGGAGATGCAGAGGAACGAGATGCTCATAAAACATGCATGGCGTGAACCCCGGCACCGGGTCCCAGCTGGGCTCCATTCAGGCTACAGGGTTTAACGGGTGCAGTATTTCAAAGGCTGATGGTGACAACAACGCTGCTGTAACAGAGCTGCAAACAGGCATAATGGGCAGTGCATGCCTCCCTTTAATGTGTTTATTTTAAATAGGACGATTTGAGGGCCTAGAGATGGTGAGAAGTATCTATTTCACACACAAAACATCTCAGTGGATTATGGTTTTGTGCAATGATTTATTTTCTTTGAAGCCAGAAAATCTCTCGAAAGACAAAAAATAGGGCTCCAAAAGGATAAAGTGCTGTGGATTTTTCCTAGACCAACCTGAGAGTCTCACAAGTTCCCTAGACACATTTCTAATGGGATTTTTCCATTCCATTTTCCATTTTTCCAGAAAGATAAACTCCACAGCAAACAAAAGTTGATGATACTTACACAGTTGACTTAGCAATATTTTCTTCATAAATAAAAGGCATTCATTAAATCGTCATAAGTGAAAGTCTAGAGTTGGGCTTTAAATGAATGGCTCTATGTCAACAACAACAATAAGAAAAGACACTTAAAATGATCCACTTTTCCACCTGCAGAACCACACCTGTTCCTTTGATGAAATGAAAATGAAAATGTGTTTTTAAACATCCACCCTCCAGAATCTTTTTTCTTTTCAAGTGTTTGGTGTGATGATGTTTAGAAGACACATAAAATATTCGAAATCCATGCTTGGAGTATTAACTTACGTATTTTTTTTACACTTTACATATTACACAAATACATATTGACTTTGAGACAAGGTTATACAAATTGCAAAAATGCTGACTCATTTTCGAGTTTCAGGACTCATTCCTGCAGCACTCTATGGTAATTTAGTTTAACAGAATATTGTGAGAGCCTTGTATTGGCCCAGTGTTGTTTATCACCAAATGAATCTACTGTTTCCCTGTTCCCTGCAGGTTTCCCTGTGCTTCTACACTCCCCTCCACCCTTGCCAGGCTATAAAAAAGGAATAGTGCAGGGTTTTACTGCTCTGCAAACATCCACCTGTAAAAAACACTGCCCTGCTGCTCCACCTCACCATCCGTCTGTTAAACAACCCGGCCCATTCATTCACACAGGAGATGCTGAAACTGGAACTCAAAGACGGAAATGGCATTTCTAGGCTTTATTATTAATGTGACAAAAGGTCAGTGTGTTTTACTCACAATTGGCCTATGTTTGTGGAGGAAAGAAACCCTGACAAGATGGTAAATGTAGCACTGCTGTGAGAAAACAGGCTGAAAATACAGTAAAAGTAATGAATGGGTGTAATAGGAGCCTGCAGGATTCTAAAGTACCTGGACTGAGTCTGTAGTCCCCGGCGGAGAGACCTCCTCCCTGAGGCACCATGCTCTTCATCCTGAGGGCTTCTTCCGGGTGGTTGAAGCGAAAGTAGGCCAACTGGCCAAAACACAACATACAGCCTGGAAAAACAGAACAAATATCATTTTAATATTTCGTTTTAGAAAACCCCCAGGAATATATGAAAGGAGGGCTTAAAGAAAATAACTAATTATTGGTTATTCATTAAGAGTCCATTTATCTAAAGACTGAAACAAATGTGGCAAACTATCAATCTACTGAGCACATGCTGACCATTTGGTGTAAAACTGCAACGATTGGTTGATCAACAGAAACATTTACGCCAACTATTTTGACAATATAATTTCTTTATTGTCATTGCATCAGGTACAAAGATATTAAGCTATCTTGTCAGTGCATTTCCAAATCAATAAGAAAGTATATGATTAATGCAATTTACAATACATATAAAATCACAGGAAGTGATTTGGTGAAGGAGTCAGAGTTGTTCTGACAAAGCATGAGGGAACAGACTCTTTGGTCCCTGTGTACAAATGATGAAGGATGAAACTTCGACAAACTTCGAGGAAAAATGCAGCCGATTTAAAACATTTTGAAGTAAAGGTCTTTCAATAACTGCTCAAATTAGACATTAATAACTTCCACAAAATCTCACATTGATATATATATTTTTTCTGGGAAGCAGGAAGTTGCATCAGAAGTGCAAATGACTTTGAATGAGTAAAATACCTCCGATATCAAATAAGTCAGTCTTCTCTCGGTTAATTAACTCCCATCGGTTTACGCAGTTGAACTATCTGATGTGCCTCGCCCCGACATCCTGCGTCTACTGATAATGCAAGCAATTAGAAAGATAAGATGCTCAAAAAATGCTGTTTCTGGACGTATTCAAGCCCAGAGTAAACAAAGTGATGAAATGAGAGATCTTCTACCAGAAGGTTGGTCACATGTTCGTTGGCTATGGCAAACACAACGTACCCCTACAACTAATTTCCGCTTTTTCAGGCGCATGGTGCTCTCACTGCTATCATCTCTAAACTGTCAGGTTGATGGTCACATGCACTCGTATTTGTTGTTGTTAAAAGCTCAAGTTATATAAAAATACACCGAGAGCTGCTTAACTACAGGTTATGCACCTGATATTACCACAGTTCATGTTTTAATCTCTTGGAACTAATATTCACTGACTCTTATCACTAATAATAGTGGTTGAAATGACTAAGTGTAACGTTAAATATGTCGCTCATAGTGTCAAACAGACATAGAATAATCACCGATTACAGGAAAGCCCACAAAACTAGGCTGTACAAATGACAGACTTCAGAGGTTCCTGTTGGATTTCCGATAAAGAGGTTCAGTTGAGGATCACGCTTTTACTGAGAAACAAAAAATATCAACATCAGCAGCTAAAAAGCCACATGTTTTCCTAAAGAGATGGTGGAGACCAAAAACAGAGCAAAAAAAGGAGACTGACTTTTGGACCTTCGTTGATCAAAAGGACACAAACACGATTTCATTTGCACAATAATGTTGCCTCCTCTGTTGGATATGCAACTCAGCAACAGGTTTTTGTTAACCACTTTATAAAGTGTTGATGTCAATTTTGTGTATTAGCACATTTCTGCTCACCCACAGGATCTGGAAAAAGTTGCCAAATGCTGCTTTGAAATGTCACATATACTGTAGTGTGCATGTCACTTGGGAGTCCTTCCAATGATTCTTCACCTTTCTTGCTGAATTAAACACTGTTGTGTCAGTGTGTGGTTTTGTCAACCTGCGCACACTGATTGTGAAGTATAAAGAACAACATAAACTGCTTTTGATTTTGCTTCAAGGTGTCTCTAGTGTGAAGCAGGCAGATAATATTAACATAGCCGATAGCCATGAACTGACAGTGTTGCTTCTCACACTAATCAGGCATGTATTCACATGACCCAACAACCCAACAGACACTTGGTTTCTATGGTAGTATCAATCAAATCCACTTACTGTCGTAGTTAGAAATGTCAAAACAAACTGTACGCATAACTAATTCATCCCCACCATGCGCAACAAGCTCGATGACAGATAGGCAATCTTGTGTTTATTGCTTTCTCAATATTGCACCATTGTCCTGCCGAGATTACGAGGGAAAGGTCTTCCCGCTCGGTCAGAGATAAGATCCCTGCCTGTTGTCACTGACGAACACGAGGCAGAAGGTAAAGGCGGAAACTTCTCCGTTACACAAGAGGCTGCGGTGATGTAGAACAAAGCCAGATGCCCTTTTATTGTGGACAGACGCAGACTGACAGCTTGGAGAAAAGCACCTGATTACATCATGAGCACCGGGTAAAGGAACAGAGCGACATAGATGGAAAAACTGTGTTTACTCATTTGTTGTCATATATATTTCCTTTGATTTATTCTTGAAGGAAGCTCCTAGGGACATTCTGCAACCACACCATCACTCTTTTTAATTGTTTGATTTTATTTATTGTTATACACTACTGAGTATCATGCGCTGTTGTGATATTTCAATGTCGAGTATTGTCTCTGAACTGAACTAAATAAACTCATAATGGAAGAATCTGATGAATGACATTTATTAAATGGAAGAAAAAATTAATAATAATAAATGAAGTCTATATCTATGAAGAATGGGTGAAATATAGAACACCAACCATTACTAATGACACTATGGTAAGATGTGGCAATATATTTAGGCATGAGTATCAATGACGTGTTCGTTATTTGTAAACTATATACTATAACTTATTGTTAAATCATTGTTTTCTCTTTTTGCAAATGTTCTGATTTGTGGATTATTATTGTTATTTAGTGTACTTTAGCATTAAAATAGCACACCATATGGAACTTCACCAATTGTGAAGAACTGCTGACAAGCAGTGGTTCTAAATACCAGTTAAATTGATACTCTTTATTGGTACAATAAATACCACATGCCTCCATGAGCTGTCCACAGGCAGCATTTTGCTTATTTGCATTTCGTTTTTGTAAATGGAAAGAAGAGGCCAGTTTCCATCAGCCTTCCCTTCAGTGGTTACGACACTGTCCCAACTTTGGTTGGTATTTTCCACATTTGAAATTGTTTCCTTCAATATTTGGATGTCTTATCATCAGTAAACGACCGAGCCATAAGTCTGGTCATGAAAGAGAAAAACAGAAAGACGCTGAGTGGGATAATTGAAAGCGGTCATCAGGATGTTCATACTGCGGTCTGTGGAGCCACGTCAGCTCAGCCACCGTGTCTTCATGCAGTCATCTGACTCCCTCACCTAGCTCCTGTTTCCTCAAGGATTCTGGCAGCTCCTCTGCCTACAGCACACACTCTACCCTACATCTGACGTGCACTAACATGATCTCCCCGGTGAAGATCAATTGAGCCACTTCTAAGGAACATGTTGAATAAAATAACGTAGCTGGAAGCGATGTGTTTCTTCTGACACAGTCATCTCTCACTGAGATCTTGCAGGGTTTTGGTGACAGCTCTGTGGCGCACAGTCAGTTCAGCAGTTCTGTCGAAGCGTGTCAGAGACAGGGGTCGGGAGAACAATGATGACTGAGGATATTAACTTAGAGGTGTGGGTTGATGAAATATTGAGCCTGTTATGATCAAATAAAGATTATATGTCAGCTATTGTGAAGTTTTTTTTTTTATTGTAATATTGATTTAAGGACTTTTTTTAACTGCATATCAATATATTTTTTCCAACTGTGGTTTTTTCATAATTACATTCCATCAGATGTGAATATTAGGTGGTGAAAAAAAAAATGATGATGATTTTCTTGTGCTATGGAAGGGCTCAAAGATGTTTGGGATGAGTCTGTTTTCCTGGCTTGTCTGAATGTTGCTTTACACAATCATAACTTAATCTTCCAGAGAACTTCATAACAAAACGTAATGGTTGGAATGGGAAGTACATAAGTAGCCTACATCTACTCAAGAACTGTACTTAAATCAAAAATAGTGAGGCATTAACTCGTGTTTCCCCTATATACAAATAGTGGCGGCGCAGCACCGCTGCTGAAATATGAGCGCCACTGCTAGGGGGCGCCAGCCAGGTACCCAAAACAGAACAAAAAAATAATATATATTTTTTTACTTTTTTTTTTCTTAAAATAATAAGTGGCGACCATTTTTCATTTTTGATTGTTTGTTATGTAGATTTGTAGTATTTGTGTTACTGGCATAGGCGACACAGGCGGTCGCCTAGGGCGCCAGATCTGGGGGGCGCTGCGCTGGTAGCTCTGGGAGGGAAAAAACATTTTTGAACGTTGCCGCTCATGTGGGCGCTAGGTTAACTAGGTAAAATAAGATATGAATGAACAACAAAATTAAAATAAGCTACATTTATTTGTTATTGGCTATGGTAGGTTATTGGTTATGTTCACATACTTATTTGATTATTAAAATGTAAACTACATCTTAACTACGGACTTGACGTCACACTATTACCTCTCGTATAGTAAACAGACCATTGTCATTACGATTTGAACTTTTTGTTTATTGCGAATTGCCATACGCCGTGTGTAAACAAAATTGGGAACAAAGTCTATACCTAATTGCTCTGCTATGCTGGACTACTCTCTCGATAACAGTTCAGCTCACAATACCCCCTAAGTGACGTCGAAGGTTGTAGAGGTAAACGCAGTTAGTAGTTGTAAACGTGACAATCTCTACCACAATAACAGTCAAAAGAAAAAATGATTGACCGTCACGAACAGTTAACAGTCATTGGATCTTATTATGTATTTAAGTAGTATTTGCAGTCAAAAGGGATCCTAGCCGAGTTAGGTTGTTTCGTCGGGCGCCACGAGGTCCGCCACCCGGCATCGCATACACTTCGCGCACTCGCCACCTAAGAAATAACACCCACGCGCAAGCTTGACAGGCGGGGCGGTTACACACAGATACACCGTCGTGTTCTTTCGCGAGAACTCGGATCATGGTCCAGGAAACCACTCATAAAAATCCGCTGTAACGAATCAACACATTTCTTATTTACTTTTTAGAGATGTATTAATCTGTTTTTCGATGTTTTGTCTTTGAATAACTCGATCCATTAATCTGCAGTTTTACCGAAGTTCTACATAAGTCATTGACTATT